TATCAGTGAGGTCATATGATACATGTCTTTCTCTGTTTGACTTATTCGCTCAGCATAATACCCTCCAGTTCCATCCACTGTCATTGCAAATGGCAAGATCTCATTCCTTTTGATGGCTGCATAATATTCCATTGTATATATAGACCACATCTTCTTTATCCATTCATCTGTTGATGGACATCTCGGCTCTTTCCAGTTTGGCTATTGTGGACATTGCTGCTATAAACATCGGGGTGCACATACCCCTTCGGATCCCTACATTTGTATCTTTGGGGTAAATACCCAGTTCTGACTCTGATTCTTTCGCACCGCTCTTATAAGGATACTTTTGATAGGATAATAGGATAAGGGTACTCATGATAGGATAATCTTCTTACCCCAAGATCCTTAACTTAATCACACCTGCAAAGTCCCATGTGCCATTGTAAGGTACCACACTTACAGATTTCAGATATTAGGAGGCAGACATCTCTGAGGGGCTGTTCTTCTACTTACCACAAATACAACTTTGAAACACTTGGCTTCTGAAGGACCTGCATTTATGATGTGGCACTTCTGCCCCTTCTTCAAAACTCTAACCTGCCCCTTGAACAACTGCTTTACCTGAGGAAACTCTAGTTTGACTTTCATAATTAAGGAATGTCTTATATTTAGGGCTCAGGTAGAGGGTTCATGGTACTTGAGATTCAAATTTAGCAGCTCTAGATCTGAGACGCTAGAGGAAGGGAGACTTAGGTCTTGAAAGTGACCTCAATTCTGGGAGTCTGTGCTGAAACTCAAGAGATGCCTGAGCCAGGGGTCAGGCAACAGGAGGCAATGGTAATCTGGAGCACAGTATTCACTTTCTCAAGAAGAATGAAAAAGCAGAAGTGGACTTGGCCATACACTTCACCTTAGCTTCAAAAAGGAAGAGAGATCACCTAAGACTTGTACACTAATTACCCAACTTCGAGGCCAAAGTTCTTCTGATTTTGCATCTAACAGTGCACTTCCCCATTCCAACAGGACTGGGGGCAAAGAGCAAAATAGGAGGAAGTTAGAAATATGAGAGAGGCAGAAGAGCACTTATAGAAAAACAAATAAGGGGCGCCTGGGTGGCTCAGTTGTTAATATTAAAAGGCAAGTCCATAGTGTCTTCACCAGGTAACATTGAAGGTCTTCAGGTTATACAAACAGGTTAATTCTCTCTTCCCTTTGTTCTTCCTTTGTGCTCTCGAATAAGGAATGATGGGTCAGCGTTAATTTAAGGAGAGGGAAAAACTAAATTCAGATGTTATCAGGGAAGAACTTAGAAATTCAGGGGCGCACACATGGCTCAGTCGGTTAAGCGTCTGCCTTCGGCTTGGATCGTCCAGGGATCAAGCCCCAAGTGGGGCTCCCTCCTTGGTGGAGAGCCTGCTTCTCTCTCTCCCTCTGCTGCTCCCCCTGCTTGTGCTCTCTCCGTGTCTGTCTCTCTCTGTGTCAAATAAAAAAAATTTAAAAAAAAAAAGAGAAAGAAAAATTCAGATAGCCTCAGTGATTTACTCTATTGGATTAATTATTTGAGGAGTGCCTGGGTGGCTCAGTTTGTTAAGCGTCTGCCTTCGGCTCAGGTCATGATCCCGGGGTCCTGGGTCCTGGGTCCTGGGACTTGGCCCCACAGCAGGCTCCCTTGCTCAGTGGGAAGTCTGCTTCTCCCCCTCCCTCTGCCGCTCCCCCTGCTTGTGCTCTCTCTCTCTCAATAAATAAAATCTTTATTAGCACATGCTCTAACCAGCTGAGCTAACTGGCCAACCCAATAAATAAAATCTTTTAAAAAAAGGATTAATTATTTGAATCATGAGCTTTCTTATCAACATAGTGATACAAATCCCCACACCTTGTATAATCGAGATACCCAGTAATTGCCTGAGACTCAGAACTGAGTCATCCTCTGACCAAGCCAGGTAGCAGTGGTCACACCTACCATGTTCAGGCATGTTGTTGGTAAGAGCAATCCACACAATAATATAGTTCCAGGGGAGAAGTCCAGTGACAGAGCACCATGGCTTCTGACAAAGGTAAATGGGACCCAGGGGCCTGGTAAATTCTGTATTCTTGAAAAGGGCAAAATCTGTGTGTGTGTGTGT